AAAGATAGCTAGGTAATTTTCTTCTCCTTATTCAGCCCATGCTTAAGAGTTGGCACAGTGCTAGCTCTTCCTTCCTTATCATGTCCTGAGTGATGAGGCAGACCATGCCGGAGGAGGGCGAGAACTTGTAAACAATTGTTCAGATTGGAAGTGGGGATTGTTCTTGGATATACCTGTCAGAACTAAACATCACACTAAACTGATTTTACTTTTCTTCCTCACACCTCCATTTATGCTGTCCTCTCTCTCACAACCAAGAAGAGCTCAGCACAAGCTGTAAAAACAATGGAAACTTTCTTCTATAATTTTGGAGATAGAAAAGTATTTTTGTTTGTTTGTTTCCTATGTAGTATTCATAAAGCATGTAGTTTTTCAGGAGAGAAACTTTACAAACAGGAACCTTGAGGCTAGCTCAGCAATTACTAAATCTCAGCATAAAAACATATTTCTTGTTTTGACCTAAGCAATGTTTCCCATAGCTCAGCATAGGAAATTGAAATTGACCCAGTTGTGTTGATCTCAGTATGCTAAACTCGGACATTAACCTACAAGTGCAGCTAGGGGAAAGGATTAGATTACTTAACTTGTTAGTTAATGTTAGTTTGATCTTTATTTCTTCTTATATAGACAAGATGCAGATGAATAAAACTATACAATGTATTTTGTTCCATGGGTAAGCTGAAGTAGATTGATGATATGTAATCCTAATCAAGGAACATAAAAATCCATTCACTGATGCCTTTTGTTCTTAATATGTGCATGATTTCATGCTTACTTAGATAATATTCTCATTGGCAGCCAGACCAATAAGAAAAAGCAGGTAATAGATGCAGGAACATTTCTTTTTCCACCAGAATTAATCTTTATGACTCTTATGTAGCTCTAAGAAGAATGTTACCGGAGCACTGGTAGTTGTTAAAGATAAACTGGTGACAGTACTGGAGGCAAAAGATTCGTTTTGCAGTTCATAAAAGCCACGAACAAGAGTTAAGAAGGCTAGAAACTGCAAATGATCCCAACATTTAGAAGAAAAGCTTGATCAGAGGGCTGGTAGAAGATCCGGGAATCAGGGTGTTCAGATAGCAAGGTAGAGTCTAGTGGAATTAGGGCCTGAACAAGGTAGTCTGGATCTGGAACCAGCCCAACAGGAGAGGCTCGGAGCCAGGTCAGAAGCCTAGGGAGCAAAGCTGAGGCCAGCTAGTACACTAAGGGGTAGAGGAGGGTGAGGGAGGACCAAGGCGCTCCTCTGTGTTCTCTGGGGTTGTGAATGACCAGGCAGGCTGACAGGGAGGGCGAGCTTTTAAGTTCTCTCGGACAAATCTGGTCCTTAGTCTGCTACAAGACTGATTGCTGGCTGCAGGCCTGACAATCCAGGCAGAGGCAAATAGTACAAACCAACCCTGTAGAAAATGAGTACTCAGCTTTTCTATAGTTATCCGTGGAACTGTAATCTTTAACTGAGTGATAATGATAGAAGACCTGTGACGTACCATTAGTGGAATTTGCAGAGTTACCAGAAAGTGGATTAAGGAAATGTTACACTTAAATATGAAGACAAAGGTCAAACAAAAGAGATGCCTGAGCTTGTAAAATGTACATCATGTTGCTCAGATCCCTAAGCTGAGTACAGCGCAAGTCCGTGGGGAGTCAGTAAGCGTGTGTATGTGACTTATTACTCTGCCATGACACTATTATGTTTTAGTTTTTAGCATTTTTAAAGACTAGGTAATAGTTATGAGAGATGAAGAACCCGAATTAAGTACTGCAGTTATGCACAGAAGGATAATTTGGTTTTGATAAATTGTCCTGAGCCTGTTAACTAATAATACAATTTTTTAAAGTAGCATCTTACCAGTACAAAAAAGAGGTACTATCATTATTAATGTCTAAACTATAGTGTATTTCACACAGGATTATGGTAAAGGTCAGACCATGTTTCGCTGAATTAAAAGCTATTCTGAGCTATAGCATTCCTAATCAACTCAGACCTTAAGGTGCATAGCTCAATTATAATGAGGCACAATGAATTTAAATAAACTGTGCAACTCTTGTGTAGTGATTTATAAATGCACTGTGATATCCTTTTAACTCATTAGCAATGAATGATACTACTATATGTATTCTCCCGTATTTTCTGCCGTGTAATTATTTTTACTTGCAACGCTTCCTAGAGAAGACAACTTTTGTTGTTCCTTTGTAATATGTAGGATGTAAAATGCAACAGGGGCTATCTTGATAAACACACACAAAATAAAAAGTTTAAAAAAACCTGCTGTGGTGATAGAGCAAATTATTAGCTGGTTTCAACTGTAAAATATGTGATCACAAATTATATTCTGTTTCTCTTATAGTGACTAGGGACTACCAAGGTGAAGGACAATTTCTGGGCTTTGTCACAGAAGTGCAAATGCACTTACCTGACGAGAGTATCTAGGGAATAGTATAGGGAGTATAGGGAGAAGCGAATTTCCTGAATTTGGGGACAGTCTCCAGAAGAAGAGGTTGCAAACACATTTGGGGTGGGAAGAGACAGCCTAAAAAGAGAAGAAATGTAGTTTGCAACCTGTTGTTCTCTATATGGCACAAAAGAATGTGGCCATTGCAATTTTGAATGGTAAAGTTTATAGGAAGGGTAAAATTAAATATAAAAATACTAAATAAAATAATGTGAGAAATAATGTTCTAAAAGCCTTTTGGAATGTTATACTCCTGTTTGAGAATGTTCAGGAGAAGGTGCTAATGAATAATGTGTAGTATTATTTGATTCATGTTTGCCAGGAAGCAGAACATTAAACAAAGAATTTCCTATAGGTTCTGGGCTGTTAGACTCAAATTTTCAAAGGTGTGTGCCCCTTAAATGCGTACTGGGGTACCTAGAATGTGGCCAATTTTCAGAAGTGTTGAGCATGCAATAACTCCCGTTTTCAGGTGTTTGACCTTAATCATTATTAGTATTAGGTGTGTATGGAAGTCGAGGAATAGTGATTTATAGCTATCTGAACATACAAATAAACTTCTGATTTCCTCCCTTACTCCCTGTGATATCAGAACTAACTTTGCATGTCTTTACACTGATGTGCATGCTTTGTGAGCTGAATGAATGATTGAAGGATTTTACCTGTGCAGTTGGTAGAACTATAATATATATATTTGTTATATAAATGATGTTCATTTTTGGAAATCCTGCCCCGGCCATACTTACCTTCCTGGGATGTGTGTATATTTGTGTGTTTTAGTGACATTTGGATTGGAGTCCTACTGGCAGCCAAGCCATAAACACACACACGTGCACACAGAATCACGCATGCACACACATATGCTTTTTTGGATTCTTGGTGCTTCTCAGTCAAGATATGTCAAGCATGCACCACAGTTTGAACAGACATGTAACATGAGATGCATGGTTAATCCAGTGGTATTCAGTAAATGAAAGCTCATAATCAGATAGCTGGATGTTCACCCCCCCCCCACCCTTTTATAATTGTCATAAAAAAGTCTGCATTTTCTTTTTCGTTCATCACTGTACTGTATCTTTAATGTTAGTGAAAAGTTAAGCAGACAGATACAGAGATGCCATGTATTAGCAAGTTATGCAACAGTCTGGTTCTCTTTAATGTGAGTAAACCCGTTTATGTAAGGCTAAGGATCCTAAATCCTCCCACTTAACTCATGTGCTCTTCTTCTAAAAGAGGAAAAACAAAGTTGCTGCTGATTCTAACTCAAGTGAAATGCAGGGGAAAAAGCTAGCTGATACTGCATGAAAATGTACAAAATTAGACTGCCTAAAGAATTATTTCAACTTTCTAAGTACCAGGGATGACTTATCCAGCACTTTTTTCTCCTGACTGTGACTCCATCTACATGCATATATTTCTGTAAATGATCTCTTCAAGAAATATTTTGTTGATTAGAACAGATTATTGGCACAGTGGTCTGATCTTATTTCAGAGGTGAGTGGAAGCTACTCAAATGTCTTGTAAATTCTTGAATTTTTATATTTGCCCACTCTAATTTTCATTTGATACTTTATGGGATTAGTACCTTAACAATGTTTCATCATCACTTTTAAACTATGGAGACACAGAAGCCAAGGCTTCACTTTTTTTTTTTTTTTTTTATTCTCCTTTTTTGAGGGGAGGAGGGTTAAATCTAGCTTGACTGCATGGTAATAATTCCATCTACCCACTCTTGCATTAAGTGATTATCCCACTGGAAGTCAGTGATCTGCTTTGAAGTTCTCAGCTTCAAAAGAGTCACCACATGAAGCCTATTCATATAAGCAGGGGTTCCTCTAAATAGAAAAACATCCTCTGCATCTCGCTCTTAATTTTTGCAGTTGATGAAATGCCTTTCAGCATCAATAGGATTTTAAGATTATCATAATTTCTTCTTAGATGCACAACTAGGAGGGCAAGGGCTTGGAGGCCTGACTTTGGAGGATGGATTCCCTTTAATAATCAGGATGAAACAATTGGAGGATGATTTTGATTACCTGCTGTCAAAGTATTCCCTAGATTTCTTCAGTGCAGGAGTATTTCTGTTATCAAGTCAATACATTTTGCAGACAATGAAATATCAAAGGACATTTCTGTTCATTTGAGATTATAAACCTGGAGAGAGAAGGCAAAATGGAAAGAATGCTGATTTCATAGGAATAGCTGTCTTAGCAACCCCAACCAAAGGGCCTCCTCTGCACTCTTGAAGATCCTATGTTTGAATTAGAAAGAAAACCATACAAAGCACATATAAATATAGTTAAGCATTCTGTAGTGTGCCCTGCTACAGGAACTATGAAAAGATACTTGAGGTTACTCATTCAAAAGTGCACTCACAACAGCGTCCATGACTAACACAAATAAAGGCTAATTACATTTATTTTAAGGTAATGTGCCAAATGGATACTTAAATTTGCAGTCTTGTCCTTACGTTCATTGTTGTCTGTGAATTATGTAACGTATTTCTGTATGTAAGCAAGCAATCAACTATATGAAAGCACTTCTTCACTGTGTTTGATCTTATCTGAAGCATCAAATCTTAACTAAGTGCAGGAACAAAGAACTGGAAAGGTTCTTTTAGGTTGTCGCTTCCACTCCCGTGCTACTGCAGGTAACCATGTCATAAGAATTTCACTTAAAATCAAACTCCATCAGTATATGTTGATTCTTGTTTACTCTAATTTAACACATGCTTTTCTAAAACATTTGGGAAGAAGATCTGCAGGGCATAACATTCCTCTGCGGATTTTCAAGAAGGTGTAGCAAGGGTGTCCAGTGTTGCTAGTGATGTTGTCTTCCCTTATGCAGAGGTGTGTGCTCACTGAGACAAGATAGTGCCTACCTGTAGAGTTCCAAAAAAGACGTGTTTTGCCCAGCATTCTGCTTGCCATTTTCTTTCTATTCTATTTCTTTCTATTCCATTTCCTTTCACTTTTCTCTTAGCCTTTTCCTTGCAAATCTGATTTCCTCAGAAGGATTTGCTTCCTTGTTCCTTTCAGTTCTCACAGAAACCTCTAATGTCCTAGGATCTGCATTATGTTGCCCAGGATTGTTTGCTGTGCTGAAGTGTCTGAGATTCTTTTTTTTCTCTCCCCACACACTGAACCAAGAAGTGTTCCTAGGTAAAAAATTGGAAAATGCCCACTTCTGTAAGGTGGCTTGTTGGCCTCTCATCCTGGAGAAAAGGTCCGTGTGTTTGGGGGGAATATAAACAAGCTAATTACTGATACCCACTAGTGATTGTTGTGCAGTGCACATATTTAATGCATAAAAGTTCAAATTTCTTGCTAAATCAGAGTTCAAAAGAGGCTTAACAAAAGATATCATCAAAACAGGATAACAGAAGGAGCTAGAGGTACCACTATCTTGTGCCAGTGAGGAAATGATCCCCTTTCCCTAGCTGCTTAATCACAACAGGAGGGACGGGTCAACTCCATGAGTACAGAACCAGTTTGGAAGAGATAAGGAACCTGTGGTAGCACTTCTTTAGTTGGAAAGGGATACAAAAAAAGTCATTACTTGCAGTGCACGAGTTATTGTCAGCTTGTTCCCAGAATTAATAAAACTGTGGTTTAATTAAGCCACACATTTTACATTCTGTGCTTTTCTTTTGCATCTAGGATGAAAGATCATTAACCCTGCAGGGAAATCCTAACACTGATGCTTCCATCCACAGATACAAGTAAGTAAGACTTTCCTTAAACAAAGAATCTTTTTTCTTCCTCTTATATGCAGGAAATTTTCAGCCACTGCTTCTCTGCCCCTTTTCTGTTTAAAGAAAGAGAAGGCTCTGACATTCTCCCTCTCTTCCTTCTTTCTCCTCTCTCCCCTCTCTTCTCATTTGCATGAATGAACAGGATTTTAAATATATATATATATATTTATTTATTTGTATATACATTTATATATGTACATATATGTGTATATATATGTACACCTATACACACATGCAAACATTTCCTCTCTTGGTATTGGAAAATAAAAAATTAAATGTGATGAGAAATAAAGAATCCATGTCTGCATTAAAAATAGCACACTACTTCCTCCTGCATTGTGTGTACAGAACTGTATGTCCAGTTGTATGTGCAACTGCAGAAGGAAACTTCAGGAGAAGTACAAATTGTGAGTGTGCCCTTTTCCTTGATATGTAGATTTGCATATTCTATGTTTGCAGCTTAGGCACAAATTTTTAAAATTGATCCCAGAAAGATTATGAGTCAAGGAAGAATTTTGACAAGCGTGGCATCTGTGTACGAGAGTGTGTGTGTCTTATGTATCTATCTGCGTATCTATCTATTCCCTATGTAATGCATGCTGAATATTTAAAAATGATATAAAAAAGAAACCTGAATTCCTTGAAAGATAGTTGTTTACAAGAGTATCTCGACATCCTGCTTTCTTTGTTGCTCTCTAGGTTGTATCATATATCATTTGGTTCTACATGCTTCTTTCTCTTGGTATTTCTTTTTATGCTGTCAGATCCTGCCATGTCCATTCAAATCTAAAATTGTCTGAAACTATCTAAGTAACAACAAATCTGCTGTGTGAATAAAATCTTTATGGTGAGCTGCTAGGTTTCCAAGGCACATGCATAATAGAAATTCAGTATCACTTCATTTGAGTACAGGCACTGCTAGCTGCATATCATGGAGTCCCACAAATTGTCCTGTGAAAAGAAAGATTATGACAGGAAGACAGCCCTATGTATAAGAGTCTACTAAATGTATTCCACAGCCAGCTGTGTGTGAATCACCTTAGGGAAAAATGCATATGAATGCACATGTATATTAGAGAGGGCTCTAACAATGATCTCATTCTGTACCAACTCTCAAATACTTTTTAAAAATGTGACAGTTTAGCTGAACTATCTGGAATAGACGTTTGGAAAGGCTGCCTGAACTTGAATTGTGTTAATTCCAGACTTGTGTGAAACACAACAGTTTTGGTTCACAGAGGTTCCTGAGAACATCATCTTTTGGTCTCGATTCACACAGGTTTGCAGACCTGAATTTCCCTTTGTAATCTGAACTTGTAAAGAACCTCTGAATGCAGTCAAAAGTACTGAATTATATTTAATGTTGGTATCACTTAAAACCGTACCATAAATGAATGAAATGAAACTATGTATGCTTCACTAAACTGGGCTTTGGTTGACTGTGAGGCTTAGTAAATCCTCCTTTGGAGAATGTGAGTGGAATTTGGGAAGTGTTATGCAAAATCAAATGAGTTGTATGAAATTCAATATAGGTTGTATAATGTATCTCTCCCTTTTCTAATGCCACTATTTTGGAATAGAATATATAAAATAATAAACTAAACTCCAGTAGTCCTCCATAATAATCATATAAACCTCTCCTATTCTCTCTATCGTCTCTTCAGATGTGCCCACAAAGTCAAATGAAAATGTGATTGCGTTGCAAGTAGACACAATCATGTTAAGTTAATTTATCAGTAACAGTGAAAAATAGGATAGTACATACTTTAGCATGGGCTACGTGAACCTACTTCGGACCGTGGATGTGTGTATGCATTGTGGGTCTGTTCTGAAATCCATGTTATTATGTCCCCACTGCTATAGGCTACCTGGGTAAAGCTACTTTGAGTAACCCTGCTATACTTAGAGCTTCTTTTTGCTGCACAGATAAACTTTATGCCCACTTATTTCTATCTATTATTTTATTTATAATATATCTGGTTATATTTTCTTCATGTACCATATTCATAAATTACCATGTATATTTACTTAGTCTGTTAAAATACTGAACGAAAAAATTCTGTGTAAAATTCTCCAAAAAGGAGGCATAGGCCAACTAATTAAATCTTAAATGCCAATGAAAAAAATGAATTAATATTTTAAAAGCTAATTATTACTGAAATGCTTTGGCTTTAAATTCTCCCATAATTGAAAATTTGTTCGAAATGAACATACTCAATATTGTTATTACTCCAGCAGTTCAGTAATAACAAACAAACAATAAATATGCATTATATGTAAAAACATCTGAACTAGGTGTCATCTGTTTTTCTGATGGACTGTATATTTGTAACCCTGCTCCTCCTCTGGAGATTAAATATAACCTAATTAATTTAAAACATTGTGATGACAGAAAGGGAAAGACAAATGACTTAAAAAAAATTCTCAAGTAGAAGAATCATCTTAATAGGTTAAAGTATCAAAATGTCCTTCAGTGACTGACAGAAGATTAATCTGATGTGACATTCCTGAAGAATAAAACTTCTTCTGAGCCAGGTGGCCCCAAGCAGAAATTACAGGAGAAAAGCAAATAGTGTTTTAGGATTTATCAAGGGATGACTGAGGCTATAGACAGGCAATTTCGTCTTGGAAGACTCCGTTTTTTAGCATTCAGTTTCAAAGACTTGAAAGTCTTGAAATGCAAGATTATAAAGACAGGTGTTCAGGAAAAAGTAGTGTCCTTAACTAATGTTTCCAGTGGGAATCGACATGAAAGATCTGCTTGAAGATCTTGAAAGCTAGAAAAAGTGTCTCTTCCCACCTGCATGAAGCCTCTCACAGAATTTAATTTCTGAACATGATGGATTATGTTTTTTAATACATCCAAGAAAGCAACATTGCGGTATAGAAAATAATTTAGTGAAATTTAGGGTTTGTTTGTTTGTTTTGTTTTGTTTGTTTTGTCTAGTGTCAACATAAGAATGTGAATCTATATAGGCAGTCTTAAGAGACCCTGTTCAGTACAACCAGTGTTTATCAACAGGGCTTTTCATGGAATGGCAGAAGCAGGTCAGCGATACACCCATTAATTGCTATTATGCTAACAGATACAGAAAAGGCATACTTTTACGTACTTTAAGTCTTTTTAAATATGAAATTAAATAAGGCTTATCTTCAGAGGTGAAAACTCACGGTAACTAACTTGTTCTTATAAAATAGAGATGCACAAATAAAAGGTCATAGGAAAGTTTTTTTGCTGGTATCATCAGACTGTTGTTAAGAACGGAATCTGGGTGCACTTTGACAGTCTGAAAAGTTACTGGGTTAATACCCCTGTGAAGCAAGCAGAAGAACACCCAAAACTAAAGCACAAGAGTAAAGTATCTGCAAACAGGTTCCTTAGGTAAGTTGATTATCTGGGCCTAATTGAACGTCCTACTGAATTCAAAACAATGAGATCACCTTAGAAAATCGGGACACTTACTTAACTGCACCAATACAGATTTAATTTTTCCTCTTAACCTCACAGTTTGTAAATGAGCCGATGGTCTTAAAGCCTAATAAACATACTTTATTCAAAATCTGATATTCAAAACCTTAAGTGATTTCTTTTCTTTAAACAAGACTTCACAAATGTAAAAACAATTTTACTCGTTTTATGGAATGCGATTAATGGCAGAAACCTCAAGCTAACGTTTCTGTAAGCACCCTCTTGCCCTATAAAGGTGAGGAAAATTCCCTTTAAAATTTTTGCTTTTTCTTGCATGCAGTTTTACCCCCTTCCTGGGCCTTCCTGGGTCCTGATCCAAAAAAGAGATAAGAACTTTGCAAGGTTGGGGATCCAGCATCACATTCCAGTTCTCTTTCATACTGACTGAACTTTACTCTTGTGCAGAGGTTATTCACCCCTTTTCTGAGGACTAAAGAGAAGAGTATTTGGTGCTTAGGCTTTGTATCTTTTCCTTACACAGTAAAAATTTCATCCATAAGTAGTCCCATTGTCAGTGAGAGAATTCACTTTAGCAAGGCAAACAGGATTTGGCTCTTTATTTCTGTGAAGTCTTATTTCTTAAGCACTATTTAAAATTCCCTTCATTTCTTCCATATCTGCAATAGAGAAAAATCTTATTCAGTAGACTATTTATTCTCTTTGCATTACCTTTATTTTTTTAAAAAACAACAAGTTGGGCAAAAATAACTTTGGCAGAATGGTTGTCTTTCTGCATTTTATATTGCTTCTTTTCAGCACGGTTGCCCTGTGAAGGTCAAATAAAGGATCATTCTCTTAGCGCAGAGGAAATGATAGTAGCCAGCTGCGGGTCAGTCCTGCCTCTTGAGATACGGAGTTCATTGTATACTTTTAGAAAGCACTACTCTCTGTGTTCTGCAGACCTAGGAAGTCAGAAATCTCCTTAGCTCTGTGACAACTATTACTAACCTTAATAACTCTGTCCTTCATATTTGTTTATTTTTATTTCATCTAAATGATGAAACCACGTTATATGTTAGTTTATAATATCTAAAACGTATGATATTTTCATCCTGGTGCTTAATGGGGGGTTAAGAATATTGTCATACCTTGCTGCATAAAGGCTTTATTTTAGATCCCTAGCATTCCCTGTGACGGGGGAGTTTCTCTAGAAGATGCTCTACAGAGAAGAAAATACCTTTAAATGAGACTTTGTCCATGCCCCTGCTTGGGAGATGCATCTCCTGGGAAAACAAAGGAAAACAAAAGAACTGCTGCAAGTTGTGAGAGAAAGCAACATCTGACGGAGCTGATGCTATCTCACTTGTTCCTCTCTCTTGGTTCTGCTCATCTCCTCTTCTACAAACAGATGACTCCTTGCTCCCCTGCTCCTCTTGATAAATTCATGAAATGAACAGAAGAAAAGTTTGTCACTTTTGATGAAATGTATGCATAAAGATAGCAAAATATATTGAGAGCAGGTTGAAGGTTAGAAGATTCCTCTCGTCTCCCTTCTTTA